GATGTGGGATCGCATTTGCCACATCAGGTTTCCAGTTTTTTCCCTCACCCCCACTCTGGATTTTAATTAGAATTACCTTGATTTTCTAGGGCATTTGGGGGAGATTGAATATCTTTATAATGTGGAATCAGTCTGTCAGCATCATACATTTTTCTTTTTAATTAGGTCTATAAATTTTCCCGGGAAGTTTTATGTTTCTCCTTAAAAGCCTTGCATATGTTTGTTTCTGGTCTTCCTGTCCACTGCAGTAGTGCTGTAAATGGTATCTTTTTAAAATTGTGTTTTCAATTGATTGATTCTAAGCAGAAGCTTAGAATTGCAATGCAATTTTGTATACTGGTTTTGTGTTCTTAATTCTATTAATTGTAACACTTGGGTAAATTATGTTAGATTGTCTATGTGGAAAAAAATCTCGACATCTGTAAATGACAATTTTGTTTCTTCCTTCCACATTCTGCTATCTTTTTTTCCTTTTTCTTGTTTTCCTTGCACTGGTGACAACTGATATGGCACTGAATGGAAAAACCAGTACCAGTTATCCCTTTCTCGTTCGTGATCTTAAAAGAAACTGTTTATAAACATTTTGTTTGTGAATATGTTTGCCAAAGATGTTTTATAGGATAGCCTTCACCACAGACAATTCTTTTTTAAGTTAGATAAGTATTCTTTTCTTTTATTCAAGAATTCATGCTTTAATGAAATGGTTTATTTCCTGTGTCTATTGAAATCTATTTTGACCCTTAAACTGTTAATACAGAAAATTATATTTCTGTTTTCTAATGTTAAATCAACATGGTATAACAGGAATAAGCGCAGTTTAGTCGTAATATGTTAATCAAAAAATTTTGGATCTATCTTTTTTAATGAGATTGGTCCACTGTTTTTCATTTCTGATATCGTCATTGTATGATTTTGTGTCAGTGTTAACCCCATAAAATGAATCGTGGGAGTAAATTCTTTAGCTTTGCTCTGAAAATTGTGTAAGATTGAAATGATCTGTTTCCTGAGTCATTGGTAAAACTTGTGTTCAAACCATCAGAACTTGATTTATTTTTCATAGGGATATTTTAAACTAATATTAACTCTCTTTATGATCATAGGATTGGTAAAGTTTTTTTTTACTTCTTCGTGGGGAAATTATCTTAATTTCTTTTTTCCTTGTTTGGCATTTTGCTATTTCATCTTAGATTTTTAAATTTGGGGGCTTATTACATGTCTACCATATTAAATTTCTGTAGCATCTAGAAATAAATGTTTTCATCATTCTAAACAGAAACTACCCATTTATATGGCATCCTATTCACCTCACTCCACCCCAAACCCTGGTAACCTTTAATCTGATTTTTCTGTCTTTATGCACTATGCCACTATGAACATGTGATGCCACTATGAACAGTGGTGTACAGGTTCCTATTTTTTGATTTAGTTCCTTTAAAAAAATTTTTTTAAAGATTGATTTATTTATTCATTCAAGCACTGGGTATAGTCAGAAGTGCGGGAGGGTGAGAGAATTCACCAGAGCCAGAGCAGGGAGCAGAACAGGCAGACTGACGAAATACACTGCTGAGGGGAGCAGCGGGCGTGGCAGGAGAGGTCTGCATGCCATGTGGGACCCTTACTGGTGGCCGGGGATGGAACTGGCGCTGCAGAGGCTGCAGGCAGCTTCGCAGCCCAGCGCTCAACCACTGCGCCACCAGGGGAGGCCTCGTGTATGTAGGAGTAGAATTTGAGGATGTAGGAGGATGGAGGAGTAGAATTTCTGAGTGATGTAGTAATTCTATGTCCATTCTTGTTTAATTTTTTGAGGAACTGCGATCTGTTCTGTATAGCAGCTGTGCCATTTTACATTTCCACTGATATGAGGGCTGTAATTTCTCCACATCCCAGCCAATACTTGTTAGTTTACAATTTTTGATTATAGACATCCTAGTGTAGCTAAGAAATGTATTTTACTCTGGTTTTGATTTGCTTTTCCCTACTGACTAGTGATGCCAGACATCTTTTCCTCTCTTACTGGTCATTGATATATTTGGGTAAATGTTTATTCATTTACACATTTTTAAAATTGGGTAATTTTTGCTGTTGTTGGGTTGTAGGAGTTTAATATTTTAAGTATCAAACCTTTAGCCAGATATATGATTTGCAAATATTTTCTCTCACTCTGTGTGCTACTATTCAGTCTCTTGATAATATCCTTTGATGCTCCAATTTTTAATTTTAAGTTTAATGAAGTCTGATTTATCTATTTTTTTTTTACTGTTGCCTGTGTTTTGGTGTCAATAAGAAATCTTTGCCAAGTTTTTTGCCCCCCTCCCATGTTTGCCTCTAAGAATTTTATAGATTTATCTTTATTTAGTTTTCTTAGCACCATTTTTTGAAGAAGCTACTCATTCCCTCACTGAAATGTCTTGGCACCCTTGTCAAAGTCAGTTGATCAGAGATCTGTGGGTTTGTTTCTGGGCTCTCAATCCCATCTCTTTATTACACCAATACCAATCTCTTTTTTTGATTATTTCAGGTTTACTAATAGCAGTAAATTTTGAAATCAGAAAGTAAATCATCCAACTTTGTTCTTTTTCAAGATTTTTTTGACTGTTCAGAGACCCTTGACAGTCCTAATGAATTTTAAAATGGGGTTTTGCATTTCTGCAAAATAGCTATTGGGATTTTATAAGCGTTTCATGGACTCTGTAAATTGTTTTGGATCATCTTCTAAATAATAATCAGCCTTCCTATATATGAGCGTATTGTATTATGTCTTTTTATTATTGGTATTTTTAGCTTTGTAGTTTTCAGTGTACATGTTTTGCGCAGGTTAGATTAAATTTACTCCTAGGTGTTGTTTTTTTTCTTTATGATATTGTAAATGATTATTTTCTTCATTTTCTCTTTGTAATGTTCATAGTTTAGAAATACAACTGATTTTTGCTTATTGGTTTTGTATCTTGAACTTTACTGATTTTGTTTATTGGCTTTAACTTTTTTAGAAAAAACAAATTCTTTAGGATGTTTGGATGTAAGATTTATCTTTCAGAGTGTGTGAAGATAGCTTCTTTCCAGTTTTGAATGTCTGAGATTTTTTAAAATATGCTTTTTATTATTGATTTATTACCTAATTACAGTGTGATTAGAGTATATAAGTTGTGGAATGAATGCTTTGAAATTTGTTTATCATTCCTCATTTTTCTTTATTTTAATCACTGTATCACTGAATAGCATATTATTTAGTTTTATGTGTTTTTTTGAATTTTATATTTTTGATTGCATGTCATTCTGGTATTTACTTTTCTCCCTCTGTTATAGACTGCACTGTATCCCCCTCAAATTCACTTGTTGAATTCCTAACCCCTAATGTAGTGGTTTTTAAGTTGGGACTTGGGGAGAGAATTAGATTTAGATGTGATCTTGATGGTGGACTCCTCATGATAGCATTGGAACCCTTGGAGGAAGAGGCACCAGAGAGAGAGCTTGTTCTTGGTCTCTCTCTTCCATGTGAAGAAGGTGCTGTCTTGAAGACATTGTATGAACACACTATAACTTATCCATTCTGTGATTGATGCAATTTGTGTTATTCTCAGTTCTTTGTTGTTGTTGTTGTTACAGTGTTGTTGTTAATGGACTTTCTTCTACGTGTCTCTTTGTGTCCTGGTTAAGGGCTTATTATGTATATAAAGTTACTAATATTCGCTTGTTTCAGATCTCTAAAAATAGTGGTCTGTTAAGGTTCAGCATACTATCTAGAGATGAAGTGATGGGTTCTAAAACCATTTTCTAAATAGATTTTACCATTTGCTCTTCCATTGGTAGGATGAGAATTTATTGACAATGTATTAATATCTGTCACTATTTGATATTGTCATACTTTTACACTTTTGCTTATATGGGGCGGTGGAACTTTCTCATTGTTTAATTTGCATTTCACTTAATTACTAATGAAGTTTAGCATCTTCTTATTTGTTTATGGCCCATCTTATTTCTTTTCCAGTGAAATTCCTATTCATGATTTTGCCCAGTTTTCTATTGTAATGTTGAGGAGCTGACTCTTTTTTACTGGGATATGAATTAGTTTGTGAATGTAGCAAATATTTATTGAGCCAATTCTTGGTTTTTGAACATACTAACACAAAGATGAGGAAGATGGATGGACTCTTACCTCAGTTTTCATGGAAGATTCAAAGTTCTGTACCTTTCTCCCAATAAAATATAGATTAGCTAGGTGAATTATTAATAGTTTTTCCTTTTTTTCCACTTACTCATTTGTAAAACAGTGGACTTTGACTAATACCTAGTGTCTCTTTTAGTAATGTTTATAATTCTAATATTTTTCTTATTGATTTTGAAACTTAGAAATAAGTTATTTTTATTGTAGTGGTAAACTATAAAGTCTTACTTTTTTTTTCATCAAAAATGTTGGGTTTTGTTTCTGTTAGATGTAATATGCTAGTTTCCTAAGGATCTCTCTATTAGATGAATGTCCCAGATAGATACTGCTGTTTTGTTATTTATTTATTTATTCATTCATTTATTTTCAATTCAATTTTTATTGCATTGTGAATTACATCAACAGCTATGCCTACAGTTCTTCCTAAACATATTTAATTATAAAATAACATGTATTATTTAATAAAATAACCCTATAGCAAATAAAACAATAAAAAATAACATCATAGAATCTTAACCACTAGAATGAATTGCCATTAGCTATTTTAATCCATATGCTTTGCTTTTCTTGGTTTGGTACAAAAAATATAGTAAATAATGTAGTTTGATCACCTTTATTGTATTAAAGAACATGATAAGCCAAAATCAAAGATAAAGTAAATCGTCTCTCATTTCATGTCTATTGTAAAATTCCAGCACTTAAAATGTGACTATTTTTAAGTATTCTACTCCTGTTTTTGCAAATAACCTTCTGAAAGTAAAGATGTGTTCTGTTTTTTTAAATTCTTAACGTAAACCCATACATTTGATCCTAATGTATATGAATTATTCGTTCTCAGAGTGAAGATACACAACAGCAGATCATCAGGGAGACATTCCATTTGGTATCTAAGAGAGATGAAAATGTTTGTAATTTCCTAGAAGGAGGATTGTAAGTATTTTATAGACTTTTTTTTACTTCATGATTAAAATATATTACTGTTTAATGGGTTTATGCTTAAAGGTTCCTAATTTTGATTAATTGGGTCAGGTGCATAAATTTCCATCTATGTTATTTATAAGTCTAGCTTAAAGGATTTTTTTAAGGTATGTAATTTTTTTCCTTTTTAAAGATTTTATAAAGGCATTTTATATAAAGGTGATACATTTGTATGGCAAAAATTCAAACATATAGAGAAGCATAAAATGTTTCTCCCCTTCCCAACTTTCTCCTTTCCAGATTTTTATGAGTCCTCAAAAATTAATTTTACACTGATTAATATATAAATGTAAAACCTTAAATTTTTTTACCTTTGGTATTGTACTGTGTTTGCTGGTTTGTAGGTGTATTGCTTGTTTTCACTTAATATTTTGAAAAGTTTTACATATAAACACATCTAGAGCAAACTCATTCTTTTTATTGACTGTAGGGTATTCCTTAGGGTGAATGAACCTCTTCATAAAAATTTAGATCTCCTCCTTTATTGATATAAACAAGACTGAAGTCTGCTTTTCAAATTTATATCGCTGTGTGTGTGCATATATATACATATATATGTAAGTGCATATATGTATATACATAAAGATAGTCATAGCATAGAGATTAGAAATCAGCTAATAGGGGTTTCTTTTCCCTCATACGAAATGACTTGTTATTTTATTTTTTATATATATGTATGTATTTTACATCATTGCTCATTTTTAAACAATGTTTGCTTCCCTCCTCCCCACCCTCAGATGTAGTCCCCGTAGAATTTCCTTCACCTCTGTACCCGTGCACCGTCAGCACAGTCCCCTGTTCAGCTAATAGGTTTTTATATTTTTAAATTACTAAATAAAAATTATGATTTGTCAGCTATTACATTTTTTGTTGTACACTTAATGGATGTAAGTTTTATTTTTTCAGTTGAAGGCTCACTGGTTAATAAAAAAGAATGGGTTTCAAGTGTACATCTTTATAAGTCAACATCTATATGTATTCCGTTAAGCTCACTACTAAAGTCTAATTCTGTCCTTCATAGAGTTGACCCCTTTTACTTGCCTTACCATTCCTCCTTCCATTGCTAGTTTTGGTCTTATAGTGTAATTTACTTTTATTTTTGAATAAATAATTTTGAAACAAATGTGTCATATGAAAACAGTTTGCTCTCAAATAGTTTCATAATTGTCTCTTCCTATGTTTATATGATTAAATTCTAATAAGTTTTTTTAATGGATCACTTACTTAATTAGATTCTTTTTAAGAAATTTAGAACACCAATTTGTAAGGGTAAATTCCATTTGTGAGGAGCAAACACAGTGGTGTTAGCCCTGGAAGTGGAGGAGTATCTTTGATTTTGGTAAAATTTGTGGCCCTCAGCTTTCTGATTAACCACGTGTGCTTCATAATCTTATATTTTCCTTCTCTTTGTTGAAGAGCTCACTTTCCTGGTATTGGGACTTACTCAGCTTCTTCTTGAAAGAAGAAGCATTTGTGAAATATTTTGGGATTTTCACACCAATGATAAAATTTTTATTGGAGGAAACAGTGACAAATCTGGTGTGTTCTACACAGAGGATCTTGATTGAGGGATAGAGTTTCAGTCGCAAGTCAGCATTGCTCAGGTGCTTGAGGAAAGTCACCCTATTCCCCCAGTACTGCCCATTGAGGATGATCAGAATGGCCCCAAAAGTGAGGCTAGCTGGCAGTTTTCATGTCGGCTGACCAGAAGGGTTTTTTGCCATTGCTCAACAGCTTTCAAGGCATATCTTCAGTAGGATAGCATCTAGATATCTTGCAATATTTATAACCACTATAGTACTGCTGTTCTTGTCACCATCTGTGAGTTTTGTGACAGTAGCAAGAACCTTCTCTTTTTTTTTTTTAAATCCTGGGTTTAGATTCTGAATGCTTTCTCTTATACATGACCTTTCTGGACTAGGTAACTTGTGAATATCTACCAGTTCCTCTGACTAGGACAAGGTTTCAGCTGTAGTGAGGCCTTCCCTCCTTAGGTGTTGTGGCATTGGGGTTCTACTTCTTAACCTTGCCACCATCATCAGCCTTCTTGGCTGCAGCGTTCTTCTCTGTAGTAGGTGGCTTCTCAGCTTTTCACTTGCCATCCTGCAAAGATAGGAAAGAGTTTAATAAGGTATATTCTTATTGACAATTCAAAAACTAAAACCTAGCTGAACCCCATATGAACAATCACGTAATACTTGAAGAAACCTACACTTCTCTGTATTTTAGTAAGTATGGTGCATATTATGAAACAATAGTTCAGATAATAGAGTATTTGTTACTCTCTGACCATAAATTACTTTTTATCATGTGGAAAGATTACTTGTGTTTCTCAAAAGAGCATGGCGTGCTGCACTTAAATTTACAAATACACACTTTCAACGTGTGAATTTTGTTATTAGCTGGAGGCCTTCACTTTACTTGTTGAGAAAGAAGCACCTGCTCTCTGTTTTTACATTTTTAATTGTACCTATTTCTCTTTAATGTCTGTAGGAGTTATCTTTGCCACTACTTTCACTTCCCTTCTTGTCAACCTCTTAATCGCTTTCCTCTTAGGACACTTATCAACCAGCACATGTACTGCATGTGGTAGACGTAATAAAAGAACCTGATTGATCTACCAGGGCACTATTTGAACTCAAAATTATTCCTTGAATTGTAGTTTTCCAACCTTGTGGAAAAGTAGAAATAAAATATTGTGTCAGAGAGGAGGCAGCACATCCAGTTTAATTCTAGTTTTGTCACTAACAAGCTTGTTTTCTTGGTCATGTGACTTACTTTCTTGTATCACAGTTTTCACCTTTGTAAAATCAAGTATTTGGGCTTAGAGAATTTCAAGAATTCTGTGGTTTTTATATTCCATTCTTTCTAAGAGTTTGTATCAGTATTTGTCCGTACTATAGTTGGAAAGATGAAATTATATTTTTTAAGGGCAAAAAATGTGTTTCTCTATTTAATAATCTTTACTCTCCTTTAAAACATTAGTAGCCATTTTGAAAGATAGTTTCCAAAAGTTTGGTCTTCGTTTAAAGCAGAGCAAAACAGAAGTTTCTGATAACCACTGAATTGCTGATTTGGGATGAAGTCAGCTGCTATTTGTGCTGTTTTTGTCTCTTTCAAGGACCAGTTGCAATCATAGTCCAAGAATACAGTCTCAGAATCTTTAATTCTTGTTAAAGATCATTTGTATTTTTGCTGTTAGAGGAAATAAAGGTAGTGTATGGTAAGAAAAATTGTTTTTACAGAACTTGTAAGTTTAATGTTACTTTTACAAAGTGAGAAATAGATGCCATTTTCCCATGCTCTGTTTAAATGTTCAGTTATCTTTGATTACATTTAGCTTTGATATTTTTAACACTTTAGTGTTAAAGGATCTTTTTGAGGAAGTAAACTAATAATTAACTGTGAAATAGCTAATCTATATTTAGAAAACTGTGCTTAGAATGACTCCTAAGTTATTTTTTTAAATGATGCAATTCCAATAAATATCAGTATGAGGGAAAATATTTGATGAAATAGTTGAATATCTCTTAGATCAGTTTTCTTGCATTTATATTCCGAAACAAAGTATATTTTGGAAGAGATCTCTATGGTAAATCTGTCCAAAACTTAAGAAATGTCATTCTTTTTTTTTTTTTTTTTTCTAGTTGATAATCAGTCTTAAGCTGTGTAAATTACAGTGACCTATGGAGCTAAATCTAGTAAGCACTTACAGATGCTCTGTGACCTGCCTGTATCTTTGACCTTGTTTACTAATCTTTTCTTGTCCATAAACCTTCTTTCTCTTCTTTGAACATAACTGTTCTCTTCTAGATAAAATGGACTTTTAAAAGTTGTTATCTTTGCTTGAAATGACTCTTCTGTATATGTTTTCATGGCCTACTCTTTATCATTAGATCTCAGCATAAGTTGTCACCTTTTTCTTAACTACACTCTGAAGTAGCAAATCCATCACTTTGGTATCATCCTATTTTAATTCTTTATCTAGCACCTTCCATTCTGATAACTTTGTTTGTTTGTTCCTCCTAACCCACTATCAGCCCCAGGCACATTGTAGTTACTCAGTAGGTAGTTTAATGAATGAATAAACTAAAACACCAGCTTATTTCACTTGACACCTCTAAAGAAAATAGTCATTCTAATTTACTTTGTCTCTGATATAAATTCACTTAAATGTCATTCCATTAAGTGTTACCTTCATTTTGTAAAAGGTTTTCAAAGCGCATTAGCTTGAGCTAATGAAAATGTTTTTTATTTTGTTTCTTATAACATTCCAATTGTTTTGTTTTGTCTTTAGATTAATTGGAGGATCTGACAACAAACTGATATATAGACATTATGCAACATTATATTTTGTCTTCTGTGTGGATTCTTCAGAAAGTGAACTTGGCATTTTAGATCTAATTCAAGTAAGTTGACACTTGCCCCTTACTGTCTTAAGTTATAATTTTGGCATTTACATTTTAGAAAACTTGTATATTCTAAATTTTTAAAATGATATTTTGTTTTGTAAGACAGTATTTCATGATAGTTATTGGGTGGGTAACAGAAAGATGAGAAAGTTAATATAATCTTAGTAACTCTAATCACAGCTAATTTCATCATGTCCTCTTTTCTTGTTCACCTAAGTCACTAGAAGAAACCCAAGACTCAGGGTCTCTAACTTTATGTCTCCAGGTCTGATCCCAAAACTCACTCCTCCTATCTCCTGAAATTTCTTTCATAATGTTATCTGGAGCTCAAGGTCAGACATCAATAAATTCCTCTTTATCATCAGCCTGTTCTGTTAATATTGCTTTCACCTTTATCCTCCAAGTTGACTCTGACTTCCCATGATACCACCTGCAACCCTCTCAAGTAACAGTTTTTTTCTCCTGCTTTCTTCATATAATTAAGCCTGGAGGAGATGTTCTTTTTGCTTTTCTTGGCTTTTCCCAGATCTTTCAACCTTCTACCTTCTAAAGTGAACTCAAACTTTATCTCATGGTAATAAATTTTAACACCTTCTACCCATCCTCTTGCAGTAGTATTTCATCCCCACCTCCCATTTATTGGAGACTTTGTTAAAAACTTTCAAAGGTCTGAGATTTTTATCTTATTTGCAAGCTAACAACGAGTTACCTACCTCAGTTTCCTGGATACTGGCGGAGAACTGAAGACTTTTGAGCTAGAAACAGGATTTTATTACCAACAGCAAAAGCAGTAGCCAGAGTAAGCATTTATGAATGCTGATTCCCCCATTCCCATTTCCCAAAGGATCAGTTGAAGAGGGCCTGGCGATACGTGCATGCCCAGTAGATTTATCAGTGAAACTGCAAGCTTAAGGAACTGAAATCATTTAAAATGGACACTAGGTGTGTCTCCCCTTGTCCTGGAGGAGAGAATAGTATCTTCCAGGGCTGTAGATAAATCTACCCTTTGCTTTCGAGAGGAACTTTATCTGTTTTCCAAGTAGTTTACCATGCAAGCTTGCTTGAAAAGGTAACTGCCTCCCCGGTGGCGCAGTGGTTGAGTGCTGGGTTGTGAGGCTGCCCGCAGCCTCTGCAGCACCAGTTCGATCCCCGGCCACCGGATGAGGGTCCCACATGGGGCGACAGACCTCTCCTGCTGCCCGCTGCTCCCCTCAGCAGTGTACTTCGTTGGTCTACCTGTTCTGCTCTCCCCTCTGGCTCTGGTGAATTCTTTCACCTTCCCGCACTTCTGACTGTGACTAGTGCTTGTATGGATGAATAAATAAATCTTAAAAAAGAAAAAAAAAAGAAAAGGTAACTACAGAAAAGATGGTCACTACTTCTGTTCACATTATATGCAGAAATGGGTGACCCTGGAGTCATCTCCTAAGATATTTTAGTTAACTGGCATTCACTGCAAAACTTGTTTATAATTCTTGGTAAGTTTTAGTATTCATGTGGATAATTCTCCTAGTATGCCAGTATCTCCAAACCTAGAATTCTTTTTCTCCAGTGAATTTTATCATCTATCTCACCTCACTACAGACTCTATATCTGTGTTCATGTGCTCTTCTGTGTGAGATGAACTCACTGTAATTCTAGCCGAGGCCAGCCCACCCACTTATATACTAATTTCCACTTTCTTACTGCTTTAGCAATTCTCCCTCTTCTATATTTTTTTCCCACTCTTTTAGATCATTCCCACTAATTTAAATCTTTCTTTTTTTTTTAAATATTTATTTATGCATACAAGAACTGGGGTGTAGGCCAGAGGTATGGGGGTTGGGGGGGGTGAGAGGATTCACGAGAGACAGAGTGGGGAGCAGAACAGGCAGACTGAATGAAATACACTGCTGAGGGGAGCAGCGGGCAAGTCAGGAGAGGTCTGCTGCACCATGTGGGTATCTTCCTGGCCAGCTGGGGATGGAACTCCTGCTGCAGAGGCCGAGGATTGCTTCATAGTGCAGTGCTTAACCCCTTGTGCCACCAGGGAGGCCCTGTTCTTCCTATCTTTAAAATTAACTCTTACCGCAAGAACAAAAATTGTAGTTGCTACAAATGTATTGGGGTAAGATTATCATGAGGGAATATGCTTAGGTTTTCTTTCTCTCTTTAACCTGGACACTGCAAAAACATAAGAACATTATATAGATACATTGTAGATTACAAAAGCTGCAAGTAAAAAGAAAGATTTTTTTTGCCAGTGTTAGAGAGAATGAGAAATTAACCAAAGCAGAAAACTTTGGTAATAATTCTGAGTGTCAAAGCTTAAATATTTATGATTAGATTAAGGTTCCTCCTATCAAATATTGTTAATAGAGAAAAGACAAGAAAACAGCAACAATGAGTTGTTAATATGCCATGCTTTTCTTTTAGTTATTTTAATTTTTAAATGTAGTTTTTTTTTCTTACATCATTGAGCCAAGTTATTCTTACATTCATCCTTCTTAAACTGGACTTAAAGGAAGAGCTTGAGAGCTGCTTTAATCATGGCAGATATTTTGGTGTCTGTGATTTTTTTTTGTCAGTTGGTGGTGAGGAAGTGGTACTTTTAATATAAATATGTATGTATTGAGATAGAGTATGAAATAGAATGTAGTTTTTTTTTTTTTTAAACAGTAGTTAAAGCACCTAAGAGGATACTTGAAAGAATTTTGAGCTTGAGACAGATCTGCTCTAAGATTCCTTGGATCTATTTCTACTTTTCTCCTGGATTACTTGAAAAACATTGCTAACTTTTGCTTTGTTTTCCTAAAGGTTTTTCTAGTAAAGTAAAAGAAGCCAAATTTTACTTATATGTTGATTGGTAGCAGTATAGGGTTGACCAGAATTCAATATTGCCTTGCCTTTTAACTTTGTTCATTGTTACATTTCTTGGTGTATCCCAATAGGGAGTAATTTGTTGTACTATTATTTCAAAGAAGTTTCCTATTTTTCAGGAAATGATTTTTATTATGTGCTTTCTGTTTTTCAATTAGCCATGTCTAAAAAGAGTTTTAGACATGTAGACACTACATTCCAAGGCATTGTTTATTTGCAACTAATGTTACAAGAGGAAAAGTAGGAGAAAAGTAATCCATTTCAAATTCAGGCTGTTTTATTGAAGTATTGCAATTAAGAAAGACCCCAACAAATAATAATTTTCCTAGGGTCAGATAACAAGTATTTTCTACTGTATTGTGATTTAAGTCATGATTATTGGTTATTGTTTTGATATTGTGGCTGCTATTAATAGTTACGATAGCATAGTTATATCTCAGAAGGGAATTATATGGGAAGTTGTCAGCGTACATCCTGCATCACACCTGAAGAAAATTCTATCAGAGTTTGTGGGAAGTAAAAACTGTCTTGTGTTTTAGCTACTAGTATTGAAATGTTGACAATGTGTCTTTATATTAGATAAGATACAGAAAAGTGGATTTCAGGAGAAATGTCATCTTTCCATCACTAATATAGCTAGAATGATTTTTACAGGATCTGTTGTATTATCACATATCGATCTATCATGTGATAGACCACACAAAAAGAAAAGCTTTCTTATTTACCTTATCTGGAACTGATTCTGTCACTACCACAAACACATGGAGTTCTGCAATTGCTGTCATTCCCTAGCAATTAGCACATGTCATTAAATACTTAGGGTGTGCTGAGCATGTGCTTTCAAAACATTGTTTCAACAAAGATGGGAGGCAGTAAATTATTGTTTCTGCTTTTGGTAAATCAAACAACTATTTAGAGCTTATTTAGAACTGATTTTCTTGCTGTGTCCATCGACTAGTTTTGAGAAAGCAAGTGTGATGAATAAAACAAAACTGGAAGATTTTAAGACAAGAGTGATTAGATCACATTTTTTGTTATTGCATATTCTTTAGAGACTGTATCAAGAAAACTTAATAATTGTCAACATGTAATTACTAATCATGTTTAATTTTGATTTTTTTAATATTAAAAAATGATACCAAATTTGGAAGCATGCATTTTTTTTTTTTTTTTATAAATTTTATTGTTATATTCCCCATACAATTGCCGCCCCCCATTCTGACCCCAATCCCTCCCCTCCCGCCCCCGCCCCCCTAAAAGTGTCTCTGGTTCATAGTTTTTTGTTGATTTTGATTTTCACTTTCTTATAGTTTTTCATTTTCCTGGTCCCTTATTTAAGTTTTCTAGATTCCTGCTATGAGTGAGACCATCCGGTATTTTTCTTTTTCTTTTTGGCTTATTTCGCTGAGCATGATCCCTTCCAGCGCCATCCATGTTGCAGCAAATTGCATGTGTTTATCTTTTTTGAATGCTGAGTAATATTCCATGGTATATATGTACCACATCTTCTTGATCCAGTCATCTATTTTTGGGCATTTGGGTTGTTTCCAAAGCTTAGCTATTGTAAACAGTGCTGCTATAAACATAGGGGTGCAGGTGTTCTTTGGAATTGATGTTTCTGTGTCCTTTGGGTAAATACCTAGGAGTGGAATTGCTGGGTCATATGGAAGCTCTATGTTTAGTAGGTCCAGAAATCTCCACACAGCTTTCCACAGTGGTTGGACCAGTTTGCACTCCCACCAACAGTGCAGAAGAGTTCCTTTTTCTCCACACCCTCGCCAACATTTGTTGTTGCTAGTTTTTTTAATATGTGCCATTCTCACTGGTGTAAGATGGTATCTCATGGTAGTTTTGATTTGCATTTCCCTGATGACAAGTGATGTTGAACATTTTTTCATATGCCTGTTGGCCATTTGCATTTCCTCTTCAGAGAAGTTTCTTTTAAGCTCTTCTGCCCATTTTTTGACTGGATTATTTTCTTTGTTGTTGTTGAGTCTCATCAGCTCTTTGCAGATTTTTGTGATCAGTCCTTTATCATTAGTGTTGGGTGCAAAAATGTTCTCCCAGTTGGTGGGGTTTCTCTTTGTTTTTGTTATTGTCTCTTTTGCTGTGCAAAAGCTCTTTAATTTGATATAGTC